TTCCTTCTAGCTCAACTGTGTCCTCTTAGTTAATTCACTGCCATCTTATACTAGGACTGCTTAACGCTCAAATTCCCCAACCTAGTGTCTGCCTCTTTATTGACCTCCCATTACCAGTCCATTCCCATATTACACTTCCTAAGTATCAGGGAGGGTGTCTGGTGGAGCAGTTAAGACTGCTCGGGATTCCTGCTGCATCTCATATTGGAGTGCACAGGTTCAAGTCTTGTCTCTGTTCCCCATTCCAGGTTCTAATAATGAGCCCCCTGGGAAGCAGCAGGTGATGACTTAAGTAGTTGAGTCCCTGCCACCCACGTGGGATACCCAGATTGAGTCTCTGACTCATGGCTTCAAAGTGGTGCAGTCCCAGCTATAATGGGCTTTTGGAAAGTAAACTGCAGATAGTATCTCTCCGTCTCTCTCTCACTCTCTCTCTCTGTCTCTCTCTCTCTGACTCTCTCTCTCTCTCTTTCCTCTCTCTCCCCATAGAATTCTTCACTAGTGCCTGAAACAACTCACTGTTTGTAACAGGTCTGGTATCTGTGTCCTTTTGTAGAATTGCAATTCCTGGGCAGGGACTTTACAATCATCATCTTCACTGCTGAATCCCATTGCCAGAACAAGTATCTAAGACTAGCTCATGAAAAAACCATCAATAGCCTCCTGTTCCTCCAAAGATCAAGACCAGGGGCTGGCGCTGTGGCGCAGCGGGTTAACACCCTGGCCTGAAGTGTCGGCATCCCATATGGACACCGGTTCTAGTCCTGGCTGCTCCATTTCTGATCCAGCTCTCTGCTATGGCCTGGGAAAGCAGTAGGAGATGGCCCAAGTCCTTGGGCCCTTGCACCCACATGGGAGACCTGGAAGAAGCTCCTGGCTTCAGATCACTGTAGCTCCGGCCATTGTGGCCATCTGGGGAGTGAACCAGTGGATGGAAGACCTCTCTCTCTGTCTCTACCTCTCTCTCTGTAACTCTGTCTTTCAATTAAATAAAATATATCTTAATAAAAAAAAAAAAGATTGGGGCCAGCGCTGTGGCACAGCAAGTTAACACCCTTGCCTGAAGCACCAGCATCCCATATGGGCGCCAGTTCTAGTCCCAGCTGCTCAACTTCCAATCCAGCTCTCTGCTATGGCCTGAGAAAGCAATGGAAGAAGGCTCAAGTCCTTTGGCCCCGTACCCACATGGAAGACCCAGAAGAAGCTGCTCGCTCCTGGCTTCCAATCGACACAGCTCCGGCCGTTGTGGCCAATTGAGGAGTGAACCATCAGATGGAAGACCTCTTTCTCTCTCTCTCTCTGCCTCTCCTCTCTACGTGTAACTCTGACTTTCAAATAAAATAAATAAAACTTAAAAAAAAAAACAAATATCAAGACCAAATTCTTTTAAGATTTATTTATTTATCCAATCTGCTGGTTTGCTCCCCAAATTGCTGTAACAGCCCGTCTGGGCCAGGCTGATACCAGGAGCCTGGAACTCCATCCAGGTGTCCCACATGGGTGGCAGAGAACCAAGCACTAGGACGATATTCTGCTGCTTTCCTAGGTGCATTTGCAGGGGGCTGGATTAGAAGCAGAGCAACCACAACTCAAATTGGCACTCCATCATGGGATGCCAGCACCACAAGATGTGACATACCCAGGTGTGCCACAACCCACCATAAAGACCAGATTCTTTCTCTTGATCTGTGAGACTCAGCAGGCTTAGTCCTACCTGTATCTCCAGATTTCATCTACATCCATTTTTTGAGCCAACCACTCTGGCTCTTTTTTATATTTTCAAGGACATCAAACTTCTTCGACCCCAAGGCTTTGGCACTTGATGTTTCATCTTCCTGACACACACAGATCTTCCTGTGATTGTGTCTTTTTCTCTGTCCAGCCCTCAGGCCCAAGAGGCCCTGGCTACACTTCCCTGATGCTCCTATTTGTAGCTGACCCTCATCGTCAATCCCTCTATCTAATTGCCCCCTTTTATTTTCTTCATAGCATTTACCACCTGCTGAAATTGTTTTCCTTTGCTTTGTTTATCAGTCCCTCCATACCACTTTAATATGTTCATTTAGAGACTGTTTGTCTTGCTTGCTGCAGTATCTCTGGTGTCTAGGGTAGTGCCTGGAAACCACTGAGCATTCAAATATTTGTTAAATAACTGAGTGACTGCAACAGCTCAAGGAGGTAGCAGTTATTATCCCTGTTTTATACAAAAGAGGTCTAGAGAGAGCTCATCTATTGCAGGTATAAAACTAGGATTTAAACCCAGACCCCGCTCAAAATTAGCATCTGTCTGTGCCCCAATTCTTCTCCCATGCCCCTCTCTTTCCAGCTCCACGGCTGCTTCAGAACTGTTTTTGGGAACCCATGTATATAAAGGGAATTCAAAAGGGCTGTGAAAATTGAATTAAAAGATAAATTCATCAGCCCCTGTATAGACTGTTGAAGAACAGTGCTCTTAGTATTTTTTACTTCGTTCATTCTTTTTTTCTTTTTCTTTCTCAGATAAAACAGGAGAGGGAGCAGGAAGTGGGGGGAGCATGGGTGGAAGAGTGGGTAAGGTGGGAAGAATTACTATGTCCTTAATGTTACGTTTATGAGATACATACAAATTTTAAAAATTAAAAGTTAAAAAACTAAGTTCATTTTGGTGCAAAAATTTTTGAAATCCATCATACTTTTTTCGTAATACATGTTTCAATGAACTCTTTGAAAACCCCTCATATACATGGATTCCAATTATTTTTGGCACCAAAATAAACTTTTGTTTTATTTTACACAAAAATTTTTTTTAATTTATTTATCTAAAAGTCAGATTTAGAGAGAGAGAGAGGGAGAGACAGAGAGAAAGAGATCTTATATCTGCTGATTTGCTCCCTAGGTGGCTGCAACAGCCAGGGCTGGGCCAGGCCAAAACCAGCAGTCAGGAGCCAGAAACTTCTTCCAGATGTCCCACATGTGTGACAGGGGCCCAAGCATTCTCCACTGCTTTTCCCAGGCCATTAGCATCTAGATGAACTGGAAGTGGAGCAGCCAGGACAGGAACCCCATATGGGATGCCAGCATTGCAAGTGTAGTCTTTACCTGCTACACCAGAATGCTGGCCACTCCACAAACTTTTTGAAATACCCTTGTGTTGTCCCAGAAGCCAAAGAAGCAAACATTAAGCCTGTTACATCCACTCCATACACACATACACACATGGGCATGTACAAACATAGGCACATTTTGCATGAATAGAACACATCTCTCTTATACCAATGTACAACAAATCCCATTTTTCCAGACATTTGACTGAATACAGCAGAATGAAGATAGCAAGACCATTAATTACATGAAAAGATTGGCCTGTAGTTCAGGAAAATGCACATACATTCATTCAAGCACCTGGGGATTCCATCAGGAAAGGAAAACAGACCAGGTAGAAACACGTGCCCATTTGCCAAGCAAGTGTGCTGTGCTTCTGTACTTCTCTCTCTCTCTCTCTCTCTCTCTTTTTTTTTTTTTTTTTTTTTGGACAGGCAGATTGGACAGTGAGACAGAGAGATAGAGAGAAAGGTCTTCCTTTGCCATTGGTTCACCCTCCAATGGCCGCCAGGGCCCACGCACTGCGCTGATCCGAAGGCAGGAGCCAGGTACTTCTCCTGGTCTCCCATGGGGTGCAGGGCCCAAGCACTTGGGCCATCCTCCACTGCACTCCCTGGCCACAGCAGAGAGCTGGCCTGGAAGAGGGGCAACCGGGACAGAATCCGGTGCCCCGACTGGGACTAGAACCCGGTGTGCCGGTGCTGCAAAGTGGAGGATTAGCCTATTGAGCCGCAGCGCCGGCCTCATACTTCTCAAAATGTGGGACAGGGGGACAGGGGACCTTCTGTACCCCATCTCCCGTTGTACTCCCTAAAAGTAGATTCCTGGGCCACATTTCTAGATAAGAGCAAAACTTCCGACTCTCATCCTAAAACTATGAATTTGATGCTAAAATTATGGCTTCAGCCCAAGTAATAGTTTCTGCTTACAGACAGTTTGAGTAAATTGACTAAAGCCACTCAACTGACTGGAATGAGAACCCAGGTGCAATTCTCAAACCCACCCTCTTCACCACTCATTCTAGAGCATTTTAAAGCTCTGTCTCCAAGTCTGCAAAAGACAAGAGCCTCACTCCAAAAACTGCGGGCTGTGGACCAGCACTGTCAGCTTCCTCTGGGAGTTTGTTAGACTTGCAAAACGAAAATTCTTAGATCTCACCCCGGCTGTGCTATACTGAATCTGCCTTTTCTCAAGATCCTCGGCTAATTCATTGAACGTGCACAATCCTGAGTATAGACTAATGCAAACCCAGAAAGCACAGTGATTCTTATATCTCCCAACACCTTTCTGGAGTTTTCCCTGTTAGCAGTTCAGTTCTTTCAAATTGAACAACTGAAGTGCCAAGGAGTGATGGAAATAAACCCTAGTGTCTGCTGCCACCTTGTGGGCAGAAGTTCCATCCTTGGCTGTATTTGCTCTTTACGTGAAATGGGAAACTGTTGATAGGGCCAGGTGAGGCAAATATTGACCTCTTTCAGCCACGTGCTTTGCAGAAAACTGCAAAATGGAATGAGATAGCCCTTAGGGTGCATCGTGAGATGTCCAAACCACAACCGATCTTGTCATGTATGTCCCACCTGCTCTAGTCAAGAGAGGTAATGGAAGCTCAATTTTTGCAGAGCAACAAACACTGGTATCCCTAGAGACTGTCCCTTTGCAATTCAGACACGCACATCTGCAGATGCAGGTCAAATTTCATGCAATGCATGAGATTTTTTTTAATTGCCAATCTGAAAGGCAGCGGAGACACAAGCAGTCACCATTTCTTCCTTTACCTCATCTAAGAATCTATGAACTTTTCCACAAAGCGCCGTGGAATTTCCCAAGGCTCTGCCAAATGCATCATTGGTCACCTCTGCGAAGTCGTAAACAGGACAAGCCCTACTTCCTACATTCTTCACCCAGAAAAAAGCCCAACACTTGGCAGAGCCCTCAGTCTTCAGGATGATTTTCTTTTGAAATTTGTGAGCTCAGGACTTGCAGAGATCCCAGATGCCTGTGATATGTAATGTTGAGAGCAATGGACCACCATCAGCTGTATCTCCCCGAACCCCTGAAGGTTGCCTATAGAAAAGTCAGCCCGTATGGAAGGTTCCAGCAACCCAGAAAGAAAAACGGCTCACTCAAAAGGAAGGGGATTGAAAGGTAGGTAATGGAGACTCATTCTTTTCTGTTGATTAACAGTCATTAGATTTTTTTTTTTCATGAAGCAAAATTTACTGTGGTGCTGAGAAAATGCTGTGTCTTTTCTTAAAACATTGCATCTAGAAACAAAGACTCTGTACGGATTGGGGGCAGATACCGCATTGGATCAGGAATCTTATTGTCTCTATGGAAGCCTCATTTTGTGCTCAGAAAAGTCTTCAGTGTAACAGGGAGAACTTTTCTTTTCCACCTGAACTTGAATTTTAACATAGCATGCAAGAGGGAAGAAGTGTTGTTAGTAAGCTGACAGTTCAGCATCAAAATATTAGACATTCCACACCCCATACCAACACTGTTATTTAGAAAATTCACTCAAACTCTGTCCATGATCAATGATTTCTCAGCAATTTTGTCTGCTGAAATACATACTAATCACATTGACCCATGTGCATGCTCTTTCATATAACATTTTTTTAAGATTTTATTTATTTGAGAGATAGAGTTACAGACAGTGAGAGGGAGAGACAGAGAGAAAGGTCTTCCATCCATTGGTTCACTCCCCAAATGGCCGCAATGGCCAGAGCTGTGCCGATCCAAAGCCAGAAGCCAGGAGCTTCCTCCAGGTCTCCCACGTGGGTTCAGGGGCCCAAGGACTTGGGCCATCTTCTACTGCTTTTCCAGGTCACAGTAGAAAGTTGGATTGGAAGAAGAGCAGCCGGGACTAGAACCGGCGCCCATTTGGGATGCCAGCGCCACAGGCAGAGGATTAACCTACTGTGCCACAGCGCCAGCCCCTCAAATAACATTTAAACAGTAAGACCTGGTATTTCTTGCCAGTGACAGAACCATAAATAAAAGCATAAAATACTCCAAACTTAATACACTTTAATTTGGAAAGTTAAGTGTGGTTATTTATTTTCCAATTTAGTTGGGCTTCTCACTTACCAGGTACATGAACTATAGCTCAGACAGAGAGATGTGAGTTGTTTTCATGAGACCTGGATCATCCAACAGTAAACTTCTGAACTTCTGTGGACAAAATGTTTCAGAGACTCAGACTTTCAGTAGAAAATAGAAGCTCAAGAGGGAAGGATCACAGCCCAGTAAATTCAATATCAAAGAAAAAAATCATTTTAGGAAAGGGAGAGGTTTTGGACAGGCAGAGTGGACAGTGAGAGAGAGAAACAGAGACAAAGGTCTTCCTTTTCCATTGGTTCACCCCTCAATGGCCACTGCAGCCGGCACACCACGCTGATCCGAAGCCAGGAGCCACTCCTGGTCTCCTATGCGGGTGCAGAGTCCAAGCACTTGGGCCATCCTCCATTGCACTCCCGGACCACAGCAGAGAGCTGGACTGGAAGAGTGGCAACCGGGACAGAATCCGGCACCCCGACCGGGACTAGAACCCAGGGTGCCAGAGCCGCAGGCAGAGGATTAGCCTATTGAGCCACGGCGCCGGCCAAGGGAGGGCTTTCAACCTGACAAGTTGCAAGGCTGCATTTGGAGGCTTGAGCCTCCTGAAAGTCTCTTTCTGTTGTTTTGTGTTGGTGGGTCTGCATACATATTTATGGTAGTGGGAAATACATAAAAATTGAAATTATTGAGTCATGGAAGGATCACTGGGAAATTAATTTTAGCTCATAAATTACCTTTGGACAAGCTAAGAAATGATATTTCTCTCTGAACACTTTACTACCAATCTGTTAGAAAATTATTGTAACAACATGACACAGCTTTAAGAACAGAAGGTGAAGGGAATCCCCTCAAAGTCATGTATGTACAACTGGCGAAGCTCCGTGTTCTTGGTCCCAGGAGGGAAACTGGGAACCCACAGGTCCCCTTCTATGGCTGTCAGCCTCCTTGCTTGCTTTTTTCATTTTCACCACACAGATCTAATCTGCATGGTAATCAAAGCCATCACTTACTGAATGCTTTACTAGGTTCCAAACCTATCAACTATTTCCTTTAATTTGCCCAATTCTCAGAAAAGTAGACCCGTTTTCAAAGAAGAAAACCACAAGTTGCCAATTGAAATCATATGCCAAGGATCACATGGTTAGGAATTGTGGTTCTGGGTTGACTCAAGACCATTTAACTCCAGCCCTGAGCTCAAAATGAATGACTTCCTGTACGTAATTACAGAGAAGGCGGAATGGTTTGGGTTCAGTTTAGAACAGGGTTTTCCTGGAGAGGAGCATGCATGCTATTGATGGTACTTAAGATATTTTAGGTAGTATACGAAGAAAACTTTTAAAAAATATTTATCCATGCATTTGAGAGACATAGAATGACAGAAAGAGAAATCCACATGCACTAGTTTCACTCCCCTAAATGTTTACACTGACCAGGGATAGGGGAGGCCAAACAAAGCTGGAAACTGGGAACAAAATCCAGATCCCCTACACGAGCAGCAGAAATCCAATACTTGAGACAGAACCACTCCTTTCCCCCTCCCCACTCCCACTGCCACTGCCACTGCCACTGCCACTCCCACGTCTACCTTTGCAAACCTGCATTAGCAGGAAGCTAGAGTCAGGAGCCAGAAGCAAGTATTGAACACAGGTCCCTTGGTCCATAGGACTTCTTTGGTGCCACCAAAGAAGTCGGAGAGAGCAGTTAGGTATCCTGAACACACTGTAAAGGAACAGCATGGCAAACATCATAGCTGAAAGCTGAGTACTACCAGGTTCTGCAAAGGAACAGTATAAGAACAACCAGATGTACTTTGACAACATGGACTAGAATCCATGAAGAAGACTTGAAACTGCAGTATCTTTACAGGTAGGGTGAGTTTCCCATAGTCCAACAGATTCTCTCAGGTAGGTGATTTGCATTTCTAGGTGGAGCTTCAGAGTCTGCACCACCCTTAACTTTGAAACTCTCCCAGTGCCTTGGGGTGACCATCCACAGAATGCAGTGTTCCAGTCCCTAGACCAAATACCTACTCCCTGAAGAGCATTTTTAGTGGTTATGAATACATTTTAATGAATATTAGAAATATATATAATGATAGGATAATGTCACATAACAATATAAAATGTGGAATTTCACATGGACAAATGAAGATTTATAATCACACAAAAGCCTGTTCAAATGTTTATAGTAGCCTTATTCATAATAGGCCCAAACTAAAAACAGCCCAGGGTCCAGTGTTGCAGTGCACTGAGGTAAGCCACACTTGCGACAATGGTATTCCATATCAGAGAACCAGTTTAATTCAGCAGAAAATGGCCCATGTGCTTGGGAACATACCACTCACATGAGAGACCTGGGTGTAGTTCCAGGCTCCTGGATTCTACCTGGCCCAGCCTCAGCAATTGTGCCCATTTGGGTACTGAACCAACAGCTGGAAGATTTTCTCTCTCTCCCTCTCCTCTCTCCTCTCTCCTCTCACCTCTCTGTGTCTCTCTGCTTTTCAAAGAAATAAAATAAATTGGGTCCAGTGTTGTGGTATAGCAGGTAAAGCTGTTGCTTGCGACACCAGCATCCCATATGGGCTTTGGTTTGAGTCCCAGATGTTCCACTTCCTATCCAGCTCCCTGCTAATGGCCTGGGAAAAGCAGTGGAGAATGGCCCAAGTGCTTGGGCCCCTGCACCTCCCTGGGAGACCAGGAAGTAGCTTCTGGCTCCTGGCTTCCACCTGGTCCAGCCCTGGCTATTGTGGCCATTTGGGGAGCAAACCCACAGCAAAAGAAAGATTTCTCTCGCCCTCTCTCTCTCTCTCTCTGCAGATCCCTTTCTTCTCTGTAACTCTGACTTTCAAAGTAAATAAAAATTAAAAAAAAAGAAAAGAAAAGAAATAAAGAAAACCACCCACAAATGTCCTTTAATGAGCAAATGATTGAACAAAGTGTGGGACAACCATGTCATGAATTATTACTCAGCAATAAAACCGTGAACTAGTATTGAGCCATACAACCTTGATGAGGGTGCAGAGAATTATGCTGAGTGAAAGAAAAAAAAGGTCCCAGAGGGTTCTATCCTGTATGATTCCATTTTTATGACATCCTTGAAAAAAACAAAAATCAGGCCTATGGAGCACATACTCGATGTTGCAGGTGTTAAGGCAGAGGTTGGAGGTGAGTGTCAGGGACCCTGGCAGCTAGGGACATGTTCTGGATCTTGAATGCAGCCAGGTCAGCTGCCTGGTTGTGTCTAATATACTGTGGCGTGCAGAAACTGGGTGAAGCAAACACAGAATTTCTTTGTACTACTCGTATTTCTTACACCTGCATGTGTGAATCTACAATTATCCCAAAATTAAAAGCTTATTTTGCAATAAGCTGTGGAACGTGTTAAGCCACAGCTTAACACTGTGTAACACTGGCATGTAACACATGCCGTGGCTGCTCTACTTCCAGTAACAGCTTCTGGCTCATCTGCCTGGGAAGGCAGCAGGTGATGCTCCAAGTGCTTGGGCTCCTGCCACCCTTGTGGGAGACTCGAATGGAGTTCTTAACTCCAGGCTGCGGTCTGGTCCAGCCCTGGTTATTGAAGCCACTTGGGGAGAGAGTCAGTGAATGGAAAATCTTTCTCTTCAGCTCCTGTCCCCCAACCCTCCCCCACCCCATATTGCTTGGCCTTTTAAATAAATTAGTCTTTAAAAATGAAACAAAGTATGATAAATCCTGCAATTTCATGGATATTACTGCTTCAGAGAAAGCTTCCAGAAAAACAAGTAAGGTAAATAATTGTATCAAGATGATACTCTTATAAGAAAAAAAAAGGACTTATTTATTTATTTTGAAAGATAGAGTTACTGAGAGAGAGGCAGAGACAGAGAAAGAGGGAAAAAAATTCCATCTGCTGGTTCACTCCCAGATGGCCACAATAGCCAGTGCTGGACTAGACAACAGCCAGTAGTCAGAATCTTCATCTCGGAGGTCTTCCATGTAGGTGCAGAGGCCTGAACACTTGGGCCATCCTCCACTGAGTTTCTCAGGCCATTAGCAGGGAGTTGGATGGGAAGTAGAACAGCAGAGACTCAAACTGGCATCCATATAGGTTACCAGTGTCGCAGACCACAGCCTTACCTGCTATGCACAATGCCAGCCCCTAGGTGATACCCTTGATAGAGGTTAACAACACAGACCTGGGAGCCCAATCACATGCACTTATATACTTAATTTCTTCAAGATTTAATTCCCTCAAGGGTAAAATATTGATGACAGTGTAAGGTTTTAATTATAAAATATGCTGGAAAGCACTTTTGCAAAGTGTTTAACTCGTGAAAAGATATGAGGAATTGACTATTTTTATAACTAAAACATGCCCAAATTATGAACCTGATCCATGGCTATATGGAATGTTAAATATACAAGTTTTGTTCTATCTAAGTGTATATTCTGTGGAAAAGTAGCATTTATAAGGAAGTTCTACAAGAGAACTTCAAAAAGTTGACGGGAGATGGAATTAACAGATGGTTGTTTGGGTGCAAACCTTTTTTGTAGTTGTATATACGAAGGGTCTTCAGAAAGTTCACAGTGGATTTCAGAATTTCTCACACTTCGCTTAGTTCTCCTTTTCATGAGTTGCTTGAAGTGTCTTGTATTCTTCATCAATTGCCAAGGCACACCTTCTCCTCATCTTAGTCTCAGATCTGCCAAAGGCAACAAAAATGATCTCATACCACCATCAAAAAAGATCACCAATTTAGCAATGTGAGCTAATGGATTTTTTTTTTTTTTTTCCAGCGCTGTGGCGTAGTAGATAAAGCTGCCGCCTGCAGTAGTGAGAGAGAGAGACAGAGAGAAAGGTCTTCCTTTGCCGTTGGTTCACCCTCCAATGGCCGCCGCGGCCAGCACGCTGCAGCCGGCGCACCGCGCTGATCCGATGGCAGGAGCCAGGTGCTTCTCCTGGTCTCCCATGGGGTGAAGGACCCAAGCACTTGGGCCATCCTCCACTGCACTCCCTGGCCACAGCAGAGAGCTGGCCTGGAAGAGGGGCAACCGGGACAGAATCCGGCGCCCTGACCGGGACTAGAACCCGGTGTGCCGGTGCCGCAAGGCGGAGGATTAGCCTAGTGAGCCACGGCGCCGGCCGCTAATGGATTCTAACACTGGACCTGGATTAAAATCTAAGTTATACCCTGGGCCGATTAATTTGACTTTGTATTTCAGTTTACTCATCAGCAGAAGGAAGATAGTAACATAACCTACTTCTTGCAAGTGTTGTGAGGATTAAATGAAATAGTGGACAGATTGCACTTGTAACAATCTGGTGACAAAACTTCAACTTGCTATTTTGGCTTTCTTCTCTCTATGATTTTATTCTTGGTCTGCAATGTCATTTTTTGGGAATTGTGTAATATTTTTTCACATTTGAAGTCTGAGGTTTGATGATTTAAATCATTCCATGTTAATTTTTAATTTCCTTAATGCAAACTATTTGTATTTTGTTTAGATGGCATAGAGCAGTGTCTACTAACTTAGCAAAGCAAAATGTATTGGTCCCCAAAGAGGAATCATCCAGTGAAAGTGATGTGGGATTTCACGAAAGCCGGCAAAATCAGAAAAGAAATGTCATGAAGAAAGTGAAGACGGCTTTGGGGAGGATGCTGTCACACAAGTACAGATGCAAGCCTGCAAGTCCCAGTAGAAGGGGCTCCAGGAACCACAAGGAAGCCCTCCTGTCCCCCACACAGAGCCTTCTTCCTCGGATTGTCAGGGAGCTTCCGTCTCCCAAGTTATTTACCAAGCCAAGAATGAGAAAGCTGCCGCAGAATGGTAATGAGAGGCAATTTGTCATTAGGTGTCAAGGCCAAGAGGAATGGTAAAATCAGGGTGGATTCTCTGGCTTCCCAGTGGATGGGATCTGGGAGGAGCTGGTCTGAACTGCAGAATCCAAGGCCCTACCCAGGCTCCTGGATTAGAATCTGCATTTTCACCAGACCTCCTCAAATGACTCATGTACACATACATTTTGAGATGCACTGAATAAGATGGCCACTGAGATTCCCCTTACCCCAGCTAATGATCTGATCAGTCTATGGTCACTTTTCATTTAAATACAAGGGAATATCATCAAGTTTGGGCAGGCACCTGTGTTACAGCACAGAGGGTTAAGCTGCCTCCTTCCACGTTGGAATCCCATATAGGAGTGCTGGTTTATGTCCCCACTGCTCCACTTTTGAGCCAATTCCCTGCTAATGCACCTGGGAAAACAGCAGAGGATGCCCCAAGTACTTGGGCCCCTGCTACCATGTGGGAGACCAGGATGGGCTTCTGCCTGGACCCGCCCTGGCCATTGTGACTATGTGAGGAGTAAACCAGTAGATGGAAGATTCCCTCTCTCTCTCTCTCTCTCTCTCCCCCCTTGTTCGCTTTCTCTGTCACTCTCTCTTTCAAATGAATAAATAAATCATTTAAAAACTTTTTTTGTAGAAGATAGAATTAAAGGATGTTATTTTGTTGCAAAAAATCCTGAAATTCATGCATATGAGGGGTCTTCAAAAAATTCATGAAAATGTATATTATAAATTAAAAAGTGCACATGATTTTCAAAAAATTTTTGCACCAAAATAGACATCATTTAATTGCATTTTTCCATGAATATTTTGAAGTACCCTCATATATATAGATATATGAATACATACATATACCCTTGTATATATGTATGTATGCAAAAATTCATAGTATAAAATCAAACTTCAGTGGCATTGTTTATTTTGTTTCTGGAGAAAGTAGTCAAGCAGCTGTTCAAATAGCCACTTTCAAAAAGAGAGAGTGTAGTGAGTATTAAATGAATAAAAGTTATGATTGGCAGGTCACAAAGGATGTTTGATCTTCTTGGGTCTACTTTTTATATACTGTGTGGAAGAATCAACATTCAAAGGCTCAATTTTCAGCATCTTTTTTTTTTTTTTGCATGTAGTAAGGCTGTTTGGGGTCCTATGAGTTTACATTCTCTTCTGCAGCTTTCTTAAGAATTTATTTATTTCTTATAGCAGTTTTACATTTGCAGAAAAACTGAGCATCAAATATAGAGATCCCATCTACTCTTTCTCATCTGTACCCCTACAGTTTCCATTAACATCTTGTCTTTTTATTTTTTTTATTTTTTATTTTATTTTATTTTTTGACAGACAGAGTGGACAGTGAGAGAGAGAGAGAGGAAGGTCTTCCTTTGCCGTTGGTTCACCCTCCAATGGCCACCATGGCCAGTGCGCTGCAGCCGGCGCACCGCGCTGATCTGAAGTCAGGAGCCAGGTACTTATCCTAGTCTCCCATGGGGTGCAGGGCCCAAGCACTTGGGCCATCCTCCACTGCACTCCCTGGCCACAGCAGAGAGCTGGCCTGGAAGAGGGGCAACCGGGACAGAATCCGACGCCCCGACCAGGACTAGAACCCGGTGTGCCGGTGCTGCTAGGTGGAGGATTAGCCTAGTGAGCCGTGGCGCAGGCTAACATCTTGTCTTAATGGGTTCATTTCCTACAATCAATGCCCAGTACTGAAGCATTACTATCAATGGAAGCCCACAGTTTACGCTAGGGTTTATTCTCTCTCTCTGATCTACTTATTTATTTGAAAGGCAAAGGCAGAGAGAGAGAGACAGAGAGACAGGGACAGAGGGAGAGACAGAGAGAGACAGAGAGACAGAGACAAGTCCTCCATCCGCTGCTTCACTCCCCTGATGGTTGCAACAGCCAGAGCTGGGCCAATCTGAAGCCAAGAGCCAGGAGCTTCTTCCAGGTCTCCCACACGGGTGCAGGTGTCCAAAGACTTGGGCCATCTTCCACTGCTTTCCCAGGCCACAGCAGAGAGCTGGATCGGAAGTGAAACTGCCGGGAATCCAACCGGCACCTATATGGGATGCCAGTACTGCAGGCAGCAGCTTTATCTACTACGCCACAGCGCTGGTCCCAGGGTTTATTCTCTACATTACACAGGTCTGCAGGGCATGACAAATGCATAATGTCATGTCATGTCATAAATCCACCATTATAGTATGAAACAGGCTATTTCACCACCTAGATAGACTCTATAGCTTTTTATTGTCCTTTTCAGCACAACATCAGGAAACATAGCCTGCAATATCACATTTCACATGGTGACCATCCTGCAAACTTGCTGGAAAACAACAACAACAAATACAACTGTTGACTTCCAGCTGACTGATTGCCCTGTCAAACTCCCCTGGAAAGAAATAGTCATTAATACAGGCATGCAGGCACCTAGCAATTAAGTGGTTTGCATTGACCTGTACAGTTCTATTGAAAATAACAGAAGGGCTGGAACAGGAGAACCCAGCAGAACAAAGAAGGACCACTCTTTCACCCCTAGTTCGGTGACCGTCGCTTTATTTCTGTCTTAGTTGGAATAGCAAAGCTGTCAACTAAGATTTCTCCAGAAAACAAACAGACCCACCTTTCAGGAAGCAGCTAAAAAATCTTTACCCTGTCTTCCCAGATGAATTCCTTAACACTTTTTATCCTTTTCACAAACGTTTGTTAAGTAGTTAGCATATGCCAACCGCAGCGTTAGGGAAAGAGTAGCAAATAGAGCAGATTTGATCTCTGGGCCTGTGGAATTATAGTGTGGAAAAACTCCAAAACCTCATGCAGGTACCTCTACGTAATTCAAGAGTGAAAGCACACGCTGCCATGGAAACACATCATGGGTGCTCTGAAAGGGACACCTAAATTGGGATTTTAAGGAAGATGAAGAGTTAGGTAAGGGCAGAGTGGGGCGGACAGCTGTTCAGGAAGAAGGGAGAGCATGTTCAAGTCCAATACCAGGAGAGCACGAGGTATAATTAAGAAGTGAAAGAAATCTCAGAGTAAGGGGGAGGAGGTGGAAACAGAGAACCCGAGAGAAGCGACTTGACCAAGGTTTTAACTTCCTCCTAAGGACGCTAAACCATTACATACTTTCAAGCTGGCGATTTATACAGTCTGATTTGCATTTTGAAAAAGATACATCTGGCTGCAGAGTAGAGGCTGGATGGGAAAAGGGCCAGAGATGATGCAAGAAGAGCAGTAAACAGGCTCTGACATTCATTCAGGCAAGCAATGATATTAGTTGCGATTAGTGGTGGCAGTAGGAGTGGGGAGATAAAGAGAAAAATAGTCGCAGGTATTGTAAGATTTCGGTAAGATCTGGACAGTGGAGGGCAGAGAGGAAGGATGAGTTTCTGTGTTGCACTTTGAACGTGGAATCACCATACACAGATTCAGAGCACTGAACCTGGATTAGAAAGGAAGTCGTGGGGCCGGTGCTGTGGCACAGCAGGTTACTGCCCTGGCCTGAAGCGCCGGCATCCCATTTGGATACTGGTTCGAGACCCGGCTGCTCCACTTCCGATACAGTTCTCTGCTATGGCCTGGGAAAGTAGTAGAAGATGGCCCAAGTCCCTGGGCCCCTGCACTCGTGTGGGAGACCCGGAAGAAGCTCCTGGCTCCTGGCTTCAGACTGGTGCAGCTCCGGTCGTTGCGGCCAATTGGGGAGTGAACCATCAGATGGAAGACCTCTCTCTCTCTCTCTCTCTCTGTTTCTCTCTCTCTCTCTCTGCCTCTCCTCTCTCTGTGTAACTTTGACTTTCAAATAAATAAATACATCTCAAAAAAAAAAAAAAAAAAAGGAAGTGTTGAGTTCTGGTTAGGCTTGCTGAGTTGAAGTTCCTGTGAAATAGCCAACTCACGGTGTCAAGTAGGTTAATGTTCTTATGAAGGTCAGAGGCTCTCAGAGAGATCTTTATCAAGAGTCTGTAAGCAGGACAAGATTATTTTATGTGCTACACCTGGTGTGACGTGACAATGAAACACAGCAAGTTGCGAATACCTTTTACCCAATGCCCTGTAAAACCTTTGGATTACATCAAGGAAAGAGATTTTATTTCATGCCCCTCCCTCTTTCTAATAAAAGGAGAGTGACCTCAAATTTTGTACTTACTGCAGAAAATGATATTTTATTTTAAAAATTGTATTTATTCATATATTTATTTGAGACACACACACACACAGAAACTGGTAGATAGATAGAGCTCCCATCCACAGGCGCAGTCCCCAAATATTCACAGTGACCTGAACTGCACTGGGCCAAAACCAGGAGCAAGGAACCTAACCCAAGTCTCCCATGTCGGTGGCAGAGATCCAAGTATTTGAGCCATCAAGACTGTCTTCTCAAGGTGTATATTAGCAGGAACCTGGAGCCAGGATGTGGACTTGGGACTTAAAGCCAGGTATTTCAATGTGGGATACAGATATCATAATTGGCATCATAACCACTAAGCCAAATGCTACCCCACCCCGCAGCGATCACCTTGAATTTGTTTTCACCACAGAAATTGTACTGCCTAATTTTAATACTCATTTTCAATGCATGATAGCATTTTAAAGTGTCCTATATGAATACATTTATGAGTTAAGAATTAAATTGAAATAAAGAAAATTATTGAGGGGTTTAGGGTTCTCATGGCTACTGGATCTAGAAAAAAACTGTTAAGATGAAATGTGGGCTGGCACCGTGGCTCACTAGGCTAATCTTGCGCCTGCGGCACCGGCACCCCAAGTTCTAGTCCCGGTTGTGGCGCCGGATTCTGTCCCGGTTGCTCCTCTTCCAGTCCAGCTCTCTGCTGTGGCCCGGGAGTACAGTGGAGGATGGCCCAAGTGCTTGGGCCCTGCATCCCATGGGAGACCAGGAGGAAGCACGTGGCTCCTGGCTTTGGATCGACGAAGCGCGCCAGCCATAGCGGCCACTTGGGTGGTGAACCAACAGAAAAAGGAAGACCTTCCTCTCTGTCTTTCTCTGTCTCTGTCTCTGTCTCTGTCTCTCTCTCTCTCTCTCTCACTGTTTAAACTCTGTCTGTCCAAAAAAAAAAAAAAAAGATGAAATGTGAGTGACACAGTTGTGAATGTTGCTCCAATCAACAAGCAATGCTCAAGGGATACCCTTGCATGTTGGAGAGTGGATTTTTCTTTTTAATTCCACAATGTTTAATGGGAAAATATTCAAGGCCAAACTGAAGTCTCTTCGAGAGGTATCCACTGTATCAGGAGTGACTTGGTGTCTCCTGGGGTTGTGATTTTATATATATATACATATATATATATATATACACATACATATGGAAAGAGAAATGTGTGCAGGATAAAGTGTAAAATAAGCAAAGGCAAATACATGCTCGCATTATTTTTTTTTAATTGATTGATTGGATTTGAAAGGGAGAGAGAGAGAGATTTTTCCGCTCACTGTTTCATTCCCCAAACTGCCACAACAGTCAAGGCTGCAGCAGGCTGAAGCCAGGAGTCAGGAACTCCATCCTGGTCTCCCACATGCGTGGCAGGAATGCAACTACTTGTGCCGTCTTCCATTGCTTCCCTGGCAGAGTAGGAAGTTGGGTAGGAAACAGAGCAGCCAGGACTCAGATCACACTCCCACGTGCGATGTCAACAGGGCAAAGGGCGGCTCAATCCAGTGTAGCACAATGCCCGCTGCTCCAATTCAACCCTCCGGAGTACTCTGTGCTAGGAGGCACATGTTTGTAACTGACACTCATGGGATGGTTTTTTCTTTCTCTAAGCCACCATACAGCTTGACCTGGAGGCCGAGACGGAAGAGATAACGCGAGGGCGTGGCCTCCTGCGGGCTCGGAGAACCACCAAGCGCTTGTCGGTGACATCTCTCCCCTCCGGACTGCTGAAGGTAATCTAACTCACCTCTTGGGACTGAAACATACATCGTCAGTGTTCAAGGATTTTGCAAAACCCCGATTCTCTCTTCCCTTAATTGAGTTCCACCTCACGAATGCTTCGCGCCTATGGCGTCGTGTCCTCTCCAAGAATTAGCCACAGAGAAGTCCGATTCCCCTGCAACTGAGCTCACACTGTTCAGCTTCCATTGCAATCTGGGCAACAGTGGAGCCTGCAACTTTATGCTGACTCTCTCAAATGTTCAAATGTCAAGTTTGCGTATTAGCAATCTGGCCCATCCACGCATGCTTTCTGGAGGAGAAGCCACCAGACAAGTGCCAACCAGCAGAACTCACGGCGCAGATACCAGTGTCTGGTACAGGACCCGAGTGGCTTTTGAGTCTTTGAAACGTGAACTGTGCAATCGAGGGACTGGATTTTAAATTGTATTTAATGTTAAGTGAAATTAAAATGTAAATAGCCTCATGCAGTGTAGACAGGGCCATACTAGATTACCTAGAACTCTTGCACATGGAAACTTTCACTTACCCATTAGGTATGTGATTTGACCTTGACCCTAAATTGTCTTTTTAAATGAGAACTCTTAGTTATTTTTATTTTAGATATAATAAGCCATTATTTAAAATGGACACTATGCTCAAGGCCCTGTTCATTATAAAAACTTTACAAATAACAACTCAAAATAATAAAAAATAAATAAGTAAATAACAACCCAAGTGGGGCCAGTATTGTGGCAGAGGGAGGTAAGCCACTGTTGTGACACTGGTATCTCATAATGGAGTGGCAGTTCCAGTCATAGCCGCTCTGTTTCTGATCCACCTTCCTGCTACTGAGCCTGGAAAGGAAGCTGAGGATGATCAAGTGCTTGGTCCTTGCTATCCACGTAGGAGAGCAAGTTCCTGGCTTGGGCCTGACCTACACCTAGCTGTTGCAGCCATTTGGGGAGTGAACCAGCAGATGAAAGATTCTCTCTGTCTCTCTCTTTCTCTCTCTCTGTCTCTCTGTGCCTTTCAAGTAAATAAATAAATAAATCTTTTTTTTTTTTTAAAGAAAGAATTGTGCCACCTGTGGGGTAGGTTCATAGTTATTGTGCCCTTATTATGTCCTGGGCAATTTCTAGGTTTGAGGGCTACAGGTGATCCAAGGGACACTGCTCTGATGTGTGAGATTTTACCACCTATCGAAGGAGCTAGCAATTAAACCATGGTATTGCAGAGCAGCAGGGTAAGCATAATCTCTACATAAACAGTAGCGGGACAAGTGGATATCACAGGGGATAGCAACATGTGTGATTCCTATCACACAAAATTAATTCCTTTTGGATTAGAGTTTTAAGGGGGGAAGCTAAAATCTTAAACTTGTAGAGGACCAGAAGAGTATCCAGATAACTTCAGAGTAGTAAAAGACTTTCTAGGGCCTCAACAAACCTGATGACAAGGATACAGAGGGTGGTGGGTGTTACAGCACAGTGGGTTAAACTAGCGCTTGGGACCCCAGCATATCCGAGTGCCAGTTCACGCCCTGACTACTCTGTTCTGATCTAGCTTCCTGCTAACGTGCCTGGGAGGCAGCAGATGGTGGCCTAAGTACTTGGGTTCCTGTCATAAATGGGGGACTCCCAGATGGAGTTCTTGGCTTCTGGATTCAGATTGGTGTAGTCCTGGCTGTTGCAAGCCTTTGGGATATAAACTAGCAGATGGAAGATCTCTCTCTCTCTCTCTCTCTCTCTCTCTCTCTCTCACTGTCTCTTTCTCTATGTATGTATGTATGTATATATGTATGCATCTATCTATCTATGTATATATATCTTCCCCCTCTCTCTGTCAGCCCGCCATTCAAATAAAAATAAATAAATCATTTTTAAAATGATAAAGATGGATTGGATAAATTTGGCTAGGGTTAAATTAGGAATTCCTGTTCATCAAAAGACATTAAATCAGTGGTGGTCAACTGACTAAGAAGGGATTTTTATTTTTTAGCCCTCAGAATGTTTACGAAAATAGATTTGAATTGTCTACTTATAAAAATTATGATATTTCAGGCCGGCGCCGCAGCTCACTAGGCTAATCCTCCGCCTAGCGGCGCCGACACACCGGGTTCTAGTCCCGGTTGGGGCGCCGGATTCTGTCCCGGTTGCCCCTCTTCCAGGCCAGCTCTCTGCTGTGGCCAGGGAGTGCAGTGGAGGATGGCCCAGGTGCTTGGGCCCTGCACCCCATGGGAGACCAGGAAAAGCACCTGGCTCCTGGCTCCTGCCATCGGATCAGCGCGGTGCGCTGGCCGCAGTGCGCCGGCCGCGGCGGCCATTGGAGGGTGAACCAGCGGCAAAGGAAGACCTTTCTCTCTGTCTCTCTCTCTCACTGTCCACTCTGCCTGTTAAAAAAAAAATTATGATATTTCAAATAAAAATTTGGATTTTCAACTTTCTTTGAAAGAAAAAGATGAACATGTAGGCTCACAATTCCTCATGGCAAAAAAGCAGGTGCTACACAGAGGTCCCCTGTGCAGGAGGCATGTCCTCTCCAGGCCACACCGGCCCCAGCTGGTCCTGTTATCCAAAATTGGCAGAGGAGCACTGGCATTAGGCATAGCAGTTACCAGGATGCTTGGGCCACCCACATCCCACATTGGAAAGCCTGGGCTCGAGTTCTGGCTCCCATCCCAATTCCAGCTTCCTGTTAGCGCAGATCCTAAGCAGCAGCTGCGATGGCTCAAGTTACTGGGTCCCTTCCACCCACATGGGCAACTTAGATTGAGTTCACAGATGGCTGCTGCAGACCTTTGTGGAGTGAAGGAGCAATTGGGAGATTTCTCTCTCTTTACATCTGCTAATTAAAAAAAAAAAAAAAACTTGTAGAGGCATTGGATTTCATAATAGTTGTATTCTACAAACATGGAAATAATTTAGTGACCACCTTCCAAGTGTGGTAGTTTTTTTTGTGTGTGTTTTTTTTTGTGTGTGTGTGTGTTTTTTAAGATTTATTTATCTATTTGAAAGTCAAAGTTAGAGAGAGAGAGAGAAAGAGCAAGCAAGCTTCCATCTGGGCTTAGTCCCCAGATGGCTGCAGTGGCTAGGGCTGGGCTAGGCCGAAGCCAGGAGCCAGAAGCTTCTTCCAGGTCTCATGTGAGTAGCAGGGCCCCAAGAATTAGGGTCATCCTCTGCTGCCTTTCCCAGGCCATTAGCAGGGAGCTGCATCAAAAGTGGAGCATCTAGGACATGATCTGGCACCTATATAGGATGCCACATCACAGATGACAGCTTCACCCACTATGCCACAATGCCAGCCCCAGTAGTAGATGGTTTGTAGGAAAAAGTACTGGGTTTTATGACAGAGGAACAACAAGGTCCTATTGTAGATGACCACAGAGGCTCTACCTTTGACATCTGTGCTGGTCATCGGACTCCACTTGTCAACTCCTTCATCAGGTAAGTACCTAGAAGCAGCCCCACCTGTTTCTCTGTGTAGGTGTCACAACGGTCCTTGCATTAATTATCAAACACGAGGGGAAGGTACAGCGAACCCAGTAAAAACTAAAAGGGGCATATTATTAACCAACAGCCATGACCTAGGGATGATTTCCAGCAGCAACACTATAAAGACAGGGTCCTTGTAAGCTGGAAGCCAGGAACGATGGGAAAAGCATCAGGCAGGGGGCAAGAAGAACCCAGAGCTTTGCTTTTATGTTTGGAGACCTGACTGCCATGGAAATAAGGGAACCTGCAGGAAGGAGACCCAAATTAACAACTGGATCCATTGGTAATGAGCTTTCTGGGGCACTGGTCCACAACAGCCCCCAACGCTCACTGTGCCTTGCAGCTCCACAGTTTCTTCTTCTTCTCCTTCCAAATGACCTGCTTTTCCCCCAACCTTGTGTATTCTTTCAGAGCCAGACAATCTCATTTCTGTGCACCCTACAGATCTCTCTTCAAAGAGAGCTCTGGACACAAAGGGGATACATGGGGCGTGGAGAATAATATGAATACGGTCTCCGATCCAACATTGCTATGTGGCCAATGTTCAGTTCATAAGAGAATACTCCAAGGGCGAAAATTCTTATTTCAATGCCATCACAGAAATAATATTGGTATCTCCTAATCTGGTGTGTTTTTGCATCTTTACAATAGGTACCCTATTCATCAAAAAAGAGACCACACTTCCCAGCTCTTAAAAAAAAGAAACGTGGCATGGAAAAATTCCTTCGAAAATCAGATTTGACAGTAGGAAAGCTTCAAATGCAGGTAGTGGACAAAAGCTTTTACTTTTGTTATCTCAGAAGCATCAGAGGGCTAGGCTTAACTGATAGTACAGCCGTGAGACAAAATTAACAATTAGCAGTAAGACATAATGTTAGTGGGGTGCATTCTGAGAGGGGCTAAAGGATTGCTAAGGGCATCCAGGATGATGCTGTGTCTAATAAATATTAAGTGCATGCAATTAAAGTGAAAGCGTAGACATAGGCTTCTTTTGAGAAGAAATGAGATCGTCTTTACCACCAGGTGGTAAATCTAGGTTTTCAAGCTCTGTTTGCTAAGACTTGAATTAGAATAATACTTTAGGGTTTGCAAAATGCTCACCAATTCCTGAACTCATCTCTCAGGAAAAGTAACTACCCCTTTGGTCTTTCTTTTTCTTTCTTTGTTTATTTGAAAGGCAGTGTTACAGAGACAGACAGAGGGAGAGACAGAGAGAGATCTGCCATTCTTTGGTTCATTCCCTACATGCCTGCAATGGCCAAAGCTGGGCTGATTTGCATCCAAAAGCCAGGAGCTTCTTCAGGGTCTCCCATGTGGGACCAGGGGCCCAAGTACTTGGACCATCTTCTGCTGCTTTCCCAGGTCAATTAGTAGGGAGCTGGATTTGAAGTGGAGCAGCTGGGAATTGAACTGGTGCCCCTATGGGATGTCCATGCGGCAGGCAGCGGCTTAACCTGCTAAGCCACAGCGGCAGCCCTAGCCCCTTTAGTTTTGACAAGATTTTCTAACACATGGCTTCATTTCTTTGTATTTACCTGTCATAGGTAGACGACCTCATAGAGACAGTGACAGATAAATCCATGAAGCTATTGGCCCAAAGACACGCTGAACTTCAACACTGCGAGTTCCTAGGGGATGAAATTCTTCAGTCCTCCAAGCAATTTCAGAGAGTATCAAAGAGAACCATAAGGAAGTACAAACTGAAAAATGTGTGCTTCCCGTGTAGCTGTTGCTGCTTCTGATTTTGGTCTTGGCTGTATAGGTTATCTGCTGTATAATCCTGAATACATAGCTATCTAGTGAATTATTCAGTGAGAAGGGGAGGCATGTTTTGTAGAATATTCTGCCCAATAGTCCTTTTAAAGAAAGACTTTTGAAGACTTGATTTTTAATTCTGAGTCCATAAAAACAATTTTTGGCTTCATAATTTGTATCAATCATGGAAAACTGAGGTATTTCTCAGGATGTAGCAATTCTACGAAGAATTCCTCCCATGTTTTTCTAGATGAAATTAGAGGAATCATTTATAGATAGTATGACACTTTCAATGACTACTACTGAGCTAATTTTAAACTTTCACTTTTAAAGATAAAAATTCTCATTAAAATAAAAATGTAAGATTATTAATCTATGATTCATGCAAAGTGTGATGTTTCTGAACTAAAATAAACGATGAACTAAAATAAAGGATGAAACATATAATAAGTATTGCACATGTGATCCAACACTTAATAATTCAGCCTTATCTTAAATTTCAGATTATGAAACTCTTTATCCAAGACAACCTTAATAAACTATTTACTTCAAACAACTTTTCATTCTACCAGAACTTTTTTTACTTTAAATATTTTATTTATATAAGGTGAACAAATTTCATATATATAGGTTTAAGAGCATAATGATACCTTCCACCCTAGACTTCCTTTTTTATTTTTTAATTTTTATAATGGCATACTTTATTTTATAATCACAAGCTTAGTCCTCCACCAAATAAAGAATTAAACAAGTAGTAAGTAGAAAAACCACTGTCCTCAAGAGTGTAGACAAGGTTTGTAAACAATAAACAAATCTCAAAATGTCAATTTTCCTTCTATACATTACATCCTTTTGAGTGGTTTATTACTTACCACAAGTCAGGGAAAACATATGGTATTTGTCTTTTTGGTACTGGCTTATTTCACTAAATCTAACTTTTTTTTTTTTTTTTTAAAGTTACCTATTTGAAAGTCAGAGTTACAGAGAGGGAGAAACAGAAATCTTCCATCCACTGTTTCACTTCCCAAATGGCCATGATGGCTTGAGTTGGGTCAGGCTGAAGCCAGGAGCCAGGGTCTCCCACATGGGTGCCAGAAGTCCAAACACTTGGGCTATCATGCACTACTTTTCCCAGGCCATTAGCAGGGAGTTGGATTGGAAGTAGAGCAGATGTCACACAAACTGGCATCCATATGGGATGCCAGCATCACAGGCAACGGCTTTAGCCGCTATGTCACAATGCTGGCACCTGTCAGAACATTTTCCCCCCAGCATTTCATAAATACAACTTTAATATAGTGATTCTTCCCACCACACTCATCTTCCCACTCATGCTCCCACCCTTATCCTCCTCCCTCTCCTATTCCCAGTCTTATTTTTTACTAAGATCTATTTTCAATTAACTTTATACACATATGATTAACTCTATACTAAGAATTTAAAATAGTATGAAAAAAAAACTGTTTCTCAACAGTTGAGACAAGGGCTGTTCAAAATCATTGCTTCTTGGAGTCTTAATTTTACTTCTATAGATTACTTTTCAGGTGTTCTATTAGTTATCACAGATCAAGAACATACTGTATTTGTCCTTTTGGGACTAGCTTATTTCACTAAGTATGTTTTCCAGTTCCATATATTTTGTTGCAAAGGACAGGAATTAATTTTTTTTACCACTATGTAGTATTCCATGGTGTACATATCCCATAATCTCTTCATCCAGTCTTCAGTTGATGGGCATTTGGGTTGATTCCATATCTTAGATGTAAATTGAGCTGCCATAAACATGGGGATACAGATAACTCTTTCATATGCTGAATTCATTTCCCTTGGGTAAATTCCCAGGAGAGGGATGACTGGGTCATATGGTACATCTGTATTCAGCTTTCTGAGGTATCTCCATACTGTCTTCCACAGTGGCTGTACCAGTTTACATTCCCACCAACAGTGGATTAGGGTACCTTTTTTCCCCCACACCCTCATCAGCATTTGTTGTTTGTTGATTTCTATATCAAAGACATTCTGATGTCTAAATATTTTAAAAAAAAGTGGTAATAATTTCCAGAAATGGACTCATTTTCTCGTGAAGATCCTAGAAATGTCAACGTCTCACAATCTTTAACTTAACTTTGTAAGCCAATAGATGCTACCAGTTAAAATGTTAGCAGTTATCAGTGCTACTAGATACTAACATAGTAAGAAGCACAAACAAATTCAGCTTGAAAACATTTTATTAAACATTTTGGGATGCTGCTTCCTAACTTTTAATAATAAAAAACAAGCATTTCAACAAAACCAAATCCACAGTGAAGGCATTTTCCTTGTGTAAAGAAATATGAATGAAATGTACATTAACATTTAAAACAAAGTATCTCATTGCCAAAACATTAACTATCTCATGAGCACAACAATTTCTAAGCACACGAGGATCATGTAGTGATCTTAATATTCCTAGGAATGATGAGTGATTAGCCCATCTATGGCTTAGGGTTGGCTTCCATACTTGTTTCTTGAGCTTCTTCTACCTCTGAGAGCTTTTCATCATCTGTAATTGAGAAAGAAACATACAACCTTAGTCAAATTTGCCCAAATTTTGTCTCTAGTGAATATATGAGAACACTGTTATCCTTTATTAGCCAACACACTTAAAGCAAAAATAGTGAAAAGTTAGCTTGTATCTATAATCAGCCCACATGAAGTGTTTCGTTTTTAAAATTGTATGGGTTGTTGTTGATTAGTTGAATCAAAATGCAAAATCTGCACGCTAGATTCTCTACCAAATTTTCCCCCAAAAAATCCAAGTCTTAGGCTCCTCAAAACTATCAGAAGATCAGGTAATAGGGTAATTTCCAGTTGGCTACAGAAAATATAAACAGCACATCTATAGTTCCCAAAGGCACTCACCATTCAATCAATGGGTATGCAAATATTCTTATATACTGAATACTTACCTTGCTTATCAGGGTTTTGAATCATTTCTTTATAGTAATAAACTATAATAACCAAGAAAAATTTTAAACTCATCATCATTAAATTTTTCTTAAGCTATGTCATATATTTAAGTCATGTATTAGTATAAAGTAAGGCTTTTCTGCATAACTTTACGAAGCTAAACAGCATGGATGCCTGCTAACATTATCCAGCTATTCTCCTATTCAGAAATGTAAGATATACTCTCTTCACAATGCATATTTCTTTTATTTATCTGAAAGTCAGAGTTACACACAGAGAGAGAGAGAGAGAGAGAGAGAGAACAGAGAAAGAAATCTTCCATCTACTGGTTCACTCCCCAAATGGCTGCAACAGCAGAGGCTGTGCCAGGCCAATGCCAGAAGCCGGGAGCTTCTTCCGGGTCTCCCATGTAAGTAGGAGCCCCAGCACTTGGGCCATCTTCAGCTGCTTTCCCAGGCACAATAGCAGGGAGCTGGATTGGGAAGTGGAGCCGCCAGAACTTGAAATGAAGACCACAGGGATCCCAGCACTATGCCACAACATTGGCCCCCAAAATGCATATTTCAAAAGGCATCTCCCTGTATTAACACAGAGTTTTCATAAGCATTCATTTTGAGATTATTCTACTTACTTTCCAATGTTTGCTGAAGTTCATGGATGGTACTAAGAAGAACGTGAAACTGTTTACGTCTCAATTCAAGCTGTGTTAACAAGAAAATAAAATTTTGCAAATTGATGTATTATAAGCATATATGTATCACAAAGGCTAACATAATATGTAAATAAATACCTTATCTTCAACACTTTCTTTAATGTGTGAAAGATGCTCTAATTCTTTTCCCAGAGACTCTAGTTCCCTGAAAAAAAGTTATAGTTTGCCAATTGAAGGAACAGAATTTACATTTAATACCAAATTTCTAGTTACTAAATAGTATTTTCAAAAATAACAAATGGATAAGAAGTTTAACAATCTACTCTAACAAGATTTTCAAAGCTGAGGATTATTTCTTCTTAACTCCTTTTTATTATTTACAATTTGGACAAATTTTGAAAAATTCAAGGAAACAGAAAATAACAAATTCCAAGAACTGATACATTTTCACATACTGCCATTTTTTTTTTCTATAAAGATATAAGATACTGCTGGTAGCTCTTTGAACCTTACCCCCAGTCTTCTCTTCCAGGTCCTTTTTTCTACTCTAGCCCTAGTTATGCAACCTTATTAAATATAATGCTTTTTAATGTATATATTTAATTCATGAATAATTTACAGCATTAATATACCAAATATTACACATAAAGTGTTTTGAGATGATTTAATTTTTATAAATGTTTACTATCTGTGTTTCACAAACTTAGGAATAATCTACAATTTATTGCATGTCTTATTTTTTTCACTAATGTTTTAAGATCTGTGCTTTGACAGTTTATATATACATATATCTAATTTACCCTTTTAAATTGATATTTAATATTCTAGTATGTGAATGGGTCATACTCTATCTACTTTCCTACTGATGCATATTAAATACCTTGAAATGGGTTGAAAAGGATATGGCTCTCAGAAATCACACAGCTAGTGAAATCTTGAATTCATAAATTGGTGGTGCTAAGAAGCCACAGATCTAACCCAATTATGCCATCTAGGAGGTGGGCCTACTGGGAGGTCCTCAGGTCCCTGGGAGCATGCTCTCAGAGGCAGTACTCACAAGAGGACTGGTTATTAAAGCCTAGGTTGGTGCAGCCATTATCTCTGCTTCCTGCCTTGCTGTGTGACCCTTCGCCGGCCAGCACGCCCTCCTGCCAGGGGATGCTCTGCAATGTTGTGGGAACTGCCATCAGCAACTGAACCACAGGGCTGCCCAACCCTGAACTGCGAGCCTCCAAAACCGGGAGCCAAGACAAACTTCCTTCCTTTATAAGCAGCTTGTCTTGGGTATCTTGTTATAGTAATACAACACTGACTAACAGAGACCCATAGGCAGCAAGGCTGGAGGAAGAAAACTTCAATCGAGCACTATCAGAATCTGTGATACTGAAGATCGAACCTTCCTTTTGAAAGACAGATGTATATCTAAGAGGAAATGCATAGGCTAGCACTCGGAGATTTCTGTATAAACGTCGTTGCCTTTCAAGGTAAAGCGCTAAACTTACTTTAATGTCTCATGCCTGTCTGGATGGTGCTGGATCACTTTTGCCAAAGCATCATATTCTGAAAGACATAAAAATATTTACCAAACTAAGGTATTTTGAATCTGTATTATCAAAACAAAACAGATAATACCACAAGTCTCCCCTAAATGTTTCCCTAATACCTAAAGAGAGGAAAAAATTGAGAGATGGAAAGAGTATTGCCAGAATTGGAAAAAATAAAGAGTATTGACAAAATGCATTCAACCATAACTGGAATGACATGTAACCATCGAACATGTTCCAAACAGGATTTAAACTCCTAATTCTGTTTTTAATTTCTATTTTCTAGAAGGAATATAAGAGGTCAGCATATGCATAAATGATCAGCGAATCGTCAAGCGGGCTGATTCTATATGCACTATCTACCCAGAAGAGGAA